ATATAAAGGCTATCTAGTTAATTTTATAAATTAAAATGAAAAATGTTTTAACTTTTCTTTTGGTCACATCTAAACTACATGCTATGCATTTCTTCTTTTTTTCTAGCTTATATGGCATATTTTGGTACCTATCACTAAACTATAGAATTACCAACAACTACTTGTATCTCAGCCCCTAAAGGCAGTACAAGCTAGGTTATGATAACATTTAAGGGTCTTAACAACCAGTAGAGCATCTCAGCTTTGAAAATAATAACCTGTTCCTTCTAAAAACAACTGTATGGAAGAGGTGCTAGTCTTCAAAGTGATATAAATAAATAATTATATATCAAGCTTCTAGAGGCACTACAAGCTAGGTTATGATGATATTAGAAGGTCTTAATAAATGGTAAAGCATCTCAGCTTTGGAAATAATTACTCCTTCCAGCCAGAAACAATTGTATAAAAGAGGTGCTACCATTTCTAATAAAATATTTTGAAGAAGTAATCTGATAATGCCACATTTGAAGGTTGAAGACTGTGTATTTAGAACCCATTTCAAGCTAATTAGAGGTCTGTAAATATTTTTTAGTTTGTATTTGCAATTTTGTAATATCTAATACTACATATTTGTTACATTGTTTCTACTTGGCAAATTATAGAGATTTTAACAATAATTCACGTAAGGATACTTTGGGTTAGCATACATATAGTCCTAAAAAGTTGTGCATTGATTTCAATTGAGAGTCATTGATGATTATGTATAGATTTAGCTGACAAAAACAATGTATGAATAGAAAATAGTGAGCTGATTTAGTGCTAGTAAATCCATGTTATCTTAAGTCATGGCAGCCTTGTCATGCACATCTTTTTTTGGGGGCTGTGGCAGCCTCATCATGCACATCTTTTTTTGACTGGGCAACCTTATCATGCACATCTTTTTCAGACTGGGTAGCCTTGTCATGAACTTCTTTTTTAGGCTGTGGCAGTCTTGTCATTAACTTTTTTTTTCAAACTATGCTGTCTTATCATGATCGTTTTAAAACTGTGTCAGTGTTGTCATGACATATGTTCTTCTTTTTTTCAGACTATGCTGCCTTTTAAAACATTGCCTTGGACTGTGGCAACATTGTTATGTAATACACATCTTTTGACTCTTTATGATGTCTTGAAATCTATAGTTTAGTAGCTCAACTCTACTATCTATTGCTTCAAACCTATCAGCATGTATATTATCTTGGGGAACAAAATAGTTTAGTGGATTGCTAATCAATATTAAATTTGATTAGCAATAAACAAATATTGCTTAACATGTTTTTAACTTTAGCATTTTAACAAATTATGGCAACTAAATCCAGCACTAAAAGTCTTAACTAATGGGAAAAAATGTGAATTTTATGTTTTTATTATTATAACACTTTTATTCAGCTCTAAACACTAATATTTAATTGTATCATACATGGCACTTCATAAATAAATGGTTCCTGGTGTATAAAGTAAAACGTAAAAACTGCAAGAAATACCAAACACCTCAGCTGTCACAAAATAATGCAATAATCAATTAACCAGAGAAAGAAGTGACTTGAAGATATTGCAACTAAACAAGGTTGTCACAAATCGTTTTTCAAATTAATCTAGATTTTTATTTATTTTTTTCATGAGATTTCATCACTCTCTTCCGAGCATGGTATCTCTTCAGCAGTGATTACTCTTCTTACCACAGGCATCCTTGACTGTGCACGTCACAATGGTTTTAGTTACATTCAAAATTTAATTACACTACTTTTTGTTTGTTCATGTTATACCATTTAGTATAGCATACAATCATAGCTAATAATCTATATTTTAATAGTATATATGTTTAAGTTCTTAATTTTATAAGACAAAAAGATCCTGAATTTTCCCTTGTGTGAGAAATGTGACGTTTTTTTCTTTAGACATCCCCTCTTCTTTAATTTATCACCTCTCCAAGAAGTACAAAATTTAACATAAATTAATTATTATAATGTTGTGATCACTCAGATAAAGCATAATTTTCATAGCCTTCAATTTTGTTTGGTTATAGAGTCATCAAATAGAAAATCAGACCCTTCTTGCCACACCAACCTGTCACATCCTCTCTTAGGATTTGTCAACAGCTCTCTCGTATATTTAATACTATTTTATTTTTAACCATTAGAAAGCCAAGGTTTTCATCTATCAAATGACATATTATATTACATTGTTTTCTGTACAAAAAAAATTTTAACTTCTTTTTTCAGTACAAGCTTCATTCACACGGGAAACACATTGACTTGCATGTATGAATTTGTAATGGCACTTGTCACATAGTTAGAAAGCCAGAAAAATTGTGATAGTTATGGTACATTGTCTGCTTTTTGCATGTGATTAATCTATGTTCTTTGGTGCATTATTGAATTAAATGAGAATTATTTAGTGCATTACTACCATTAGTATAAAAAAAAAGTAGAGTTAAGTGTCATTGACAGCAAATAAAAAAAAAAGACAAGGAAGGTATTTTATTTCTTGTTGTTCATGCATATTATTTATTTATTATTATAAAAGTAACTAAAATGTAAAAATAGGAAACTCTTTAGATTAGGTAAGGTTAAATTGGGTAAAATATATATAATGATATAATAAAACAAAATGTCACGAGGCATGCACATGAACAGCTTGGAGTAGTTCATGGGTAATGTAATTCAATAGCATAACATGAGCTGCACGTTCCCCAAGTAATTTACAACTTATGTCATAATGACATGAATAGTACTCGTATTTAGACATTGTTCAAAGGTCAATAAAACAATCAAATTTACATATAAATATATGTATACTGTTACAAGTTGAAAGCTACTTAGGATAAACAAATGTAGTTTCATGTTGCAACATGGCTTTTCTAGAAAGAAAAAAGCATAATTTACTTTAGTTTTATTTCTTTCTTTTTTTTGTGAGTGTATGGTTATGAGGTCAGTCAAAAAGACCAACATTGTATAGAGTTAGCTTAGAGAAAATAATAACGATAGAACATAGTTTTACTGAAAAAATGTTTGAAATGTATTTAGGAAGTTTTAGAGATTACACAAATGGCATTTGAGATTTCTGAGATGAAGAATAGTATCTTTAATCTTAACATGAAAATAATTTTGCAATTGGACTGGTCAAAAAAGACTCAATATATTCATCGACAAATCTTTAGTAAAAATACTTCATTAAAAAACTAATGTTCTATAAAAGCAATCATTGTGATGTTTACTAAAAGTCTGTCAAATTTTATGAAGATACACCTACTGTATTTAAAGTTATTGTATTAAAACTTTATACAAGTAAAAATAATCATGTGGTTGGTCCTTGGGACCATGCACATATTGAGAGAGTTCATAACCGGCTCAATGCTAAAGGTGTACTTGCAAGTATTTAGGTACATACTCTAGTCAAGTTGGTTAGATTGCGGGTGACAACCGGGCACATTCTGAATGTCATGAACAGACTACTACACAGTGTATGTGTATGAGTGCATGACAAAGTGTGTAAATACTGTATGTGCCATTTGGTGGGAATTTTTGAGAAATGAACATCAGCTTTGACTTTGTATACCAAACTGAAACATTACATCACTTTCACTGTGTTGTAGGAGGTTTCAAAGACAACATACAAGATAAAGGAATGATTCACATGTTATGCTAAGCAACGAGGAAAGTGATTTGCAAATTGCGATGCGACTCCTGATTTTTTTGTCCCCTGTATCTTGAGGGGCATATAGATTTTTAAACTAAGTGTATACAGTGATAATATTTAAATGATCGAACAACTTTCTAGTGTGATTGTCGGTTATCCAGATACTGATACAGTTAATTTATTTGAAAATCTGATTGTTTTGTGTAGTAAAACACACTTTCTCTATTTTCATTACATTGCAATGGGCCTATTACTTTCATAAAAAAATTTCACTAAACAGTGACACCTATTAGTCGAACTTGTAACAGAGGATTACCAAATATTACAGCATGATGTGCTACAGTAAATTAGTACATATATAAGTATCAGTGTGTTTGTGTGTGCATACATATGTGTGTTAATTAAATTTAGGATACAGTTTTTGTGCTTATTTATGGATTTTATGCTTTAATGATATCCATGTACTAGCCAGTTTGAAATTATTTCATTGTGTTTTTCTTCTTCTGTGGTTACTACTGTACAGAATCTAACAAACAACTTGAGAGTTGTTTACCAATTTACCCAGAAATAATAAAAAGTAAGAAGAAATTTATTTAGAAATTGAAAGATAGTTATAGAAGATATGGTATTTTAATTTATTGTATTATATTTAGATAAAATTAAAAATTTTCAGGCTTAGACCAGTCATTATAAGTATTTTAAAAATGTGATTAAGAATTTTTTTGAGGGAAATCCTAAAACTTTTTGAAAATAATGTCTTACAAATTTGATAAAAACTGATAACATATCTTCTCAATGTGTGTGATTTCATTTTTTATAATTTTATTGATAAAAAAAATCGTACATTTTGGTGATGAGCATTCTTTGTGTTATTTGAATATTCTGAATTAATTTCACAACTAACCAAAAAGAAGAATACATCAATTGAACACAGAGGTAAGAGACAACCATATTGTGTTATACAGGGTATAAAAAGCTAAAGAAATGAGGAAGTTATACAACTTAAGTAAATAATAAAACAATTATTTATGACTACTTTGACCATAATAAAATATTCCAGTTTTTCATTTTTATAACACAGACTTTGTAGCAAAAATTCATTCTTAAAACACAAGTGAAAGTGCTAAAAAAATTTTAATTAATTTTTGTTAAGTAAATGAAAGATTTAGAATCACTGAGATATTGAACATAATAGAATAAAAATAATTTCCTAGTTAATTTAGAATTTTCAAAAAAGAACATACTTGCATTTTGCATGAAATTCTTACATACAAAGTTGTCTTACGTTGTGTATTGTAATTTGTAACTGTATAAAATTACACAAAATAGTTCTGGTATTTCAGACAAGTGGAGTCCAGCTTTACAAATACGAACAGTTCTACTATCCATTCAAGCATTACTAAGTGCCCCAAATCCTGATGATCCATTGGCCAATGATGTAGCTGAACAATGGAAAATTAATGAAGCAGAAGCAATCAGAACTGGTAAAATCTTTATTGTGTTCTCAGTCTTATAGTGTGATGTTTTTCATTAATTGTTCTAAATAAAATTTAATGGTAGACAGTAACAGACCATAAGTCATAGAATGTTCTTGTCCACGTCAACTGAATTATCGGTTGTGGAAAGTACAGTTTGACAGCTATGTTACACTAATCATTATCATAGTATCAAAGAGTTTAGTTCCATTATTATTAGATAAAATTCCATACATATTTTGCATTACAAGTGCTGCTAAGTAAACACTGCTTCTGTATCAATTTATTAAGGATATGTTACTAAATGAAATAGTATCACAGATTGTACATGTATCAATTTGTTGCATTGTTCATAATTAGTACACATCTATAAAACAGGAAAAAACATACAAGAGTTTTATTTCTTCTGTAAGTATAAATTTTCCAGTAGTATTTCTCACTGTTTTGAATATTCATTAGCTTAAAAGGCAACAGCTTCTTAAAACAGAAAATCAAATTATGTACTGTTAATATAGATGTTTACTGTAATCGGCATATTGCAGTTAATTGGACTAGTTGTACTTTACTAGAAAACATCATTGTTTTTCATATTTATTTGTTTTAGAGTGAATAATGTGAGTTTCAGTATGTGCAAACTCCAAGCCTTTAAATTGAAATGATATATTTTAATTGCTTGTGCCAGTAGTGTTAAAGTTGTTTTTGTAGATTATTATACTTGTAATATTTTATCATGTGTACAATTGTGATATTTTGAACTCATTTAATCTCAATATATTTTTCTGAAATTTAATACCGCAGTTTCAGAAGAAGTTTCAAGTAATTCTTATTTATTGTGTTATATTTAGGGTGTTTATTGTAAATGACATTCTCAATTTTTAAGTTAGCTATCTGAATTTACTTGCTTGTTAATGTCAAGAACAAAGTAGTGTCCCATGTATCTGCTTTTTGTTTTCTAGAAGTAATTATATCAGAACAACTTACTTTTTATTAATTAGTATGACATAAATTAATTGTGCAGGAACATCTAAAGTGGTTAATAATTCCTTGATTTCTGGTAAACTAAAAACTATTTATTTCTAAAGCAGCAGTTCCCAAAGTGCGAGTCATGACCTTTTGATGGACCTCAAGAGTTATTGGAGTGGATTGCATAACAAAATTTAGTAAAACATAAATTTATTTCTGTTTTAAAATTATTTATAAAATAGTGATTCAAGTTATCTTGAACAAACAAAAACAACTATAGAATGCTAAGACCCCCTCTTACTGAGTTGAGCAGGGGTCCCAGAAAATTGGCAGTCTGCTCGTGTTGTAGGATATTGTGATACGATTTTTGTGTTAGAAGTGATGGATTAAACAAGTTATTTCATCTGCTTAAAGCTAAATGCAAGAGCTCAAAGCAATGATTCATTTTTGCCCAAATATGTAAATACCAAAAATGCTTTAACAAGAATTTTACTTGCATTATATTTCACATATAATATTTTTTCTGTCACATGTCATATATAATATTCTTGTTGATGTCCAAAATAACTATTGTAGTGGAATTGTAAAATAACTTATATGGCTATCATTTTTGTTTTTCATTTAAGCTCGAGAATGGACACGACTGTATGCCCAAAGCGCCTGAGGACTTGATCTCAAGTTAGGAATAGTTTAACATAATTGGAAGCAAGCATAGGTGAAGATCATCTTCTTTCCACCAGAAACACTTATACAACATTCACCTTAGGAACATAATGAATAATAATGAATTTTCACTCTTGATTTTGAATGTTAATAGCTACTCTGTACCACTTGGTTGCTTAATTTTTTTTCTTTAAGGTTAATGTTGATACCGGTATGTATATATGTGAGCCTCAGCTTTGCTTCAAACACACTGTGTTCATCACAGTATTAAAATGACTGAAGTTTAATTAGTTCTTGATAATTGTCTTTTCTCAAAAATAATTCAAATGTTGGGTTTTTCAGCAGAGTAAGTAATTACATAGAAATATGATTATTGTAAAAGTGTGGCTCTTGCTTTTCATTACTTTTTATTCAGTAGACTTTAAAAGAGGTTGAAAGAGACAAAATACAGTGTCACACTATAGTACAAGATAGGATTTTAAGAAAAACCTGAAAGAAGAAACCCAATATACATTTTTTAAAGAGACAAAATAATTTGCCTGAGCTTTTTTCTTGTGGTTCCTTTACCAAATCAAAGCATGTAGATCAGATGTCAGCCATCATCATCATAGATTTTCTTTCTTCAATTCATCTTTGAATCATGTATATTGTAAACGATTTCACTGATTAAATTTTTATTGTTTAATTGTGCTCTATTTTTTTATTGCCTGTCTGTACCAAATGCCATCCTATAAAAAAAGACAAAAACGTTTTGAAATGTAACTTATTGTTAAGAAATAATTCCTTGGGTTTGACATGAAATATCTGTAAATAAGTAATGTTCAAGTGTTCAATCTTTTGGCAACTTTAATATCTTGGAAAGAAAGACTACTGTAGTTTTGTCAAAATATTTGCTTTCATTACTGCAATAAAAATATGCTAGATGTCTGGTCATCATGCATTGTTGTATTATAGTATGGTTGTAGTTTCTTCTATTTATGTACAAATACAGTCCAAAATTACACCAAGAAAAACAATTATACAAGTATTTCCCACATCTTCATGTCATAGTATTGAATATAGATACTTGAGTATAAAGCTTTAATGTGTTTTATATTTTCCCAGACTAATAAGAAAAATGAACAGTATAGTTGTATAACATTATATATATATATATATATATATATATATATATATATATA